CAATATATATTTTTGAAAGCATGCTTACTTTACAGCATTTTTTCACACCTGCCAAAACCTTTTGCACAGTACTGTATGTGATGAATTAAGAGTCCCATTCTTCAAGGTGCATTACAGAAATCCAAATGGGGTACAGGGATCCCTCATTTCTCATTTAGGGAATGTCAGCACAATCATAAGTTTTTGCTGATTCTACCATTCTCTAAAGCCAGTCTCAGCTAGAAAGACTCCCCCTTAGGCCATTTCTTCTCAAATGTTTTAATCAAAGGACTGTTTTGTAAGAATTTTCAAATTATTAAACTTTACTCTAATGAAAACTTCTTAATACATACTTGGTATATCTCCTGGTATGACATGGTCTACTTTGATTTCAGCATTTTTATGATTATTTGAAATTTGTATTATTAGTTTATTTTTATTTTTTAAATGGATATTCCATATGAATATGGGACCTTCTGTATAAATACCATATATTTCATAGAGAGCAAGCTTAGAAGGAACTTAGCATGGAGACTGACAAAAAATGTAGAAATGGCAGAGGACAAAACTGGTTATTTGTTCAAATTATTAACACCAATTTGAATACATATAAAAACTAGTTTGCTTAGGTATGTATGGCATCAAATAGAAATGAAACTAGTAGGGGCAAATAAGAATATTAATTTCAGCTTTTTCTTCAAGTAACCTGTTGTTCATTCTTCAGACCAGTCAGCTGTGATGTGCCATTGCCTTCCCATTCTCCCATAACAAGTGGTAAAACCCCTTACTAATGGCTTCACCATCATGCCCAACTTTTGTTACTTGCAGTAATGTTTTTGCTAAAAAGGAACAGTTCATACTAACATCCATGGCTGTTTTTAATCATAAATCTTTAATTACCAACATTAATCTAAGCATTATTTTTGTTAAAATCTAGTTTATCATATTTCAAAAAATCAACATTTCCATAGAAATACATGGGATCCTGAAGCAGTAAATTACATCAGAATTTAAAGACTTAAAGTATTTAAAGAAAAAAAAAACTTAATCCCTCATGGAAACTGAGGGGAAAATTAAAAGCAATATATTCTGTAACACCAGTAATAAAAAAGGCTGAGCTGTGCAAAGTTCAGCACTGATACAATGCCCTGGAAAGGCAACTGCAATGACAAATTAACTTCTTGACCTTATTTTGGAATGGAATCCTTGCACTCTTTAGAAGACAGACCACTGGAACACACCTAATTGAGCTATAACCTTTTATTAAATCAAACTATATGAAGGATTAATTTTTCCTTTCTTCTTAAATTAAATTAACTGGATAAATAACCTCTCTTCTTCTTTTTTCCCTTTTTACCTGTGACCCTCCAGCAGCAGGAACAAAGCATGAACAGAGATTTGCAATGAGACTTTCCAATGAAACATTCAGGTTGTCCACATACACAGTGTACACTATGCCAAGGCAAGCCTAAAATATGAAATAAGAATACATAAAATCGCCACCTGGAGAAAAGCAAATATTAATAATGATTGGAAAATACAGCATAGTATTAAAAATGTAGCATAAAATATGAGTATATAAACATGCCACAGAAGAATCATGTGGTTAAATAACATTGCACTCTATAGCTGAATTTGTGTCTATATAAACCACAAACGTATCTAAATAAATCTAATCTTGAAACAGATCATACTGTTTTTCTCAATAGCAATTACTCAGGTAGAAGACTAGGACAGATTAGCCACTGAAGAAAGATACAATTGCTGAATTCAAATGCAGTCCCTTATTTCTACAGGAAGCTTGCCATAATTTAGTGGTTCAAGGGGCTTCCTTCCCCTTCAAGCTACTACTGTGCAATCTGCCTGCTGGAATTAAAAGTTATACCAAAGAAAACAAGGGCATTTTAACTAAGGTCATAATTGGGCAAAATTCTTAATGATCCAGACATTCGTGGTTGTAGTGCCTGGGGTAGATATAACCCTCCTTTTTTGCAATTTTGTCTGTTCTGATTTCTTCATCATACAAAGCTAGACTATAACTCATAAATGAGGCAACATGGGGAACAATAATTTCCTATTATTTTGCGGGGGGGATCATTTTTTGTTTGCTTTTTCAAAATCACGTAAAGAAAACTGCATTGCATTAATCCATACAAGGAAATCAGTGTAGTAAAACAGTTAAGGTGTTGGCCAGAGTAGGAGACTCAAGTTCTAGCATACCATGGAAGCCCACCTGGATGACTTTGAACCCACTGGATGACTTTGAATCAGCTGGGCTATATTATTTATAGGTCAACCCACCTCACAGTGTTATTGTGGGGGAAAAACTGAGAGTACTATATAAACTAGTTAGAGCTCCTGGAGAAAAGGCAGGATGTATATTTATTAAATAAATATGGCTGTTACAGAGGTTAATTATTTTACCTTTGTTATCTATCAGAAATATGCATACATAAAAATGTTATTTATAGGTTCTTTACCCTGAATATTTCTGGATAATCCAACCTGGACACCAATACTAGGCTTTTTGGAGCAAATACTTCTGCAGGCTGAATCAACCCAGATTCCTGCTCACCTTCAGTTACTCTTGATCCCTTGAAAAAAGATATGCATCAATCAACAAATAGAAGGTGATCACTGGAGAAATAGTATGAAAAATGCTACAATCAAAAATTATATTACATTTAAATAGATTTTAGAAATTTAAATCAACAGAATGTAACCTGTATCTCATATCTACAAATCATACCACCCAAATTATACAATCGCCACAGAATTCAGCACACTGATAAAATACATAGTATTGAAGTGTATTATACTGTACAAAGCATGGTAAATGGTATGTACTTCACATAGGTTAGGTAGACATTGCATTTTGAAGCTAGCACAACATACAGCATATCAGTTTTCAATAAAAATGGGAGTTGATATAGCCATGCATGCATTCTAATTCCTTTTCTTTCCTTATTATCTATTTGTTCAAAGGGCATAATTCCAAAGAGAACAGTACATCATTTCTCAAAGGCCCCTCTTGGGGGTGGCATCTCCCTCTGATTCTGTTCAAATCTGTTGCTTCTTTCTAGGACTCTTCAACACAGCCGCCTTAACCTGCTTGTCCCTTACACTACAACCAGCTGGAAATGAAGGTGGCTTCAGGAATTGCAGTCAGGATTTTTAATCCATTCTTCAGTTCTGGCTAGGTGTTCCCTCTGGATTGTGGCTACCATGGCCCCTGATTCTTTATCCCTCCAATCCATGCCAGAAATGCAAGCACAGGTTGCTTTTGTTTTCGTTGAATCCTCAAGCATGGCATCTTCCCCCTGATGTACCAGTGAACCACGAAGTAAGGAAACCCCACAGTTGTAACTTCTTTTCTGTCACTTGGGCTAGAAGGAAAAACGGGCAGAACCCCTGCCAATTTCATCTTTAAAAAAAAAAATCCAGTTTTTCATCAGTCCAATTGGGAAAATCCTTTCAGAAGTGGACAGGCAGCCCAGATAATGAAGGACAGCAACCAGTGCCTGGAGGGAAGGGGATGTTCCTGACTCTGGGTACTGTAGCAATTAAACAAAGGCATTTGCCTGAAACAGAATAAACCATAGCAGGCAGACTGCTCAGCACTGCTTATGACAATTTTTTTAAAAACACACACTATTTCTGACACAGAGCAAGACTTGAGGATTTTGTGCATTCCTGTCCCTGAGAGATGGGTGGGGGCACATCCTCACTCAGAGGCAAGCAGGATGTGCAGATGAACCCCTAGTCAGGAGGACTGGGTCTGACACAATAGCTAGAGCTACTTTGGAACCAGAACCCAGATTCTGCATTTATTATTGTCCATTTTAACTGTTTCTTCTATTGATCTTTGCTTTTCACATTCAAAGTTTGCAATGACAAAACAAAGCTGGTAGGGGTAATTAATCCTTCAGAGGAAAGAGAGAATATTCAAAAAGATTGAGACAGGCTTGACTGAAGGGCTGAAATGAGTAGAATGGGAGAAATGTAAAGTTTACATCTGGATAAGAAAAATAAACTAAATCCTATTAGAAACTGTTAAAAGATCTGGGTATATTTGGCCTACAGAAAAGAAGATTGAGGGGGTGAGATGTTAATAGTCTTCATATCTAAAAAGCTTTCAAATGGAAGAGGGAGTGAACATATTCTCTATTGCCCAAGACGGCAGGATCAGAATCGACAAATTAAGAATACAAGGAGACAGGTTTAGGCTAGAGATTAGGAGGAACTTCTTGACTGTATGAACTGTCAGCCAGATATCATATGTAGTTAGTTCTCCTTCACTAGAGATCTTTAAACAGGCTGGATGATCATCTATCAGAGATGATTTAATGAATTCTAAACTAAGCAGATGTTGGACTAGATTATCTGTAAAATCTCTTTTAGCTCTTTGATTCTATGACTTGTACTGGCCTCTTCCGCAGTTTCTTTTTACATAAGAAACCCCTTACCAACCAAAAATGTTAACTGCCATATCTACCCTTGATCCTCCTCCTCAGGTGGGGAAGATTTATCAGGAGATGAAAGTATCTAGAAAGTAATCTAAATGCAGGAACTCTAAAACTCAGTAAATCCCAGCATTTTTAAAATTCCAGCTTGTAACCATATTATCTCATGCAACATTTCAGTCCTTGATGCAAACAAATGATGTAAACTCCTTTTGCTAGAAAAAAGAAATGTAAACAGATTACAGAACAGAAGAGAATCATGGCTTTGCAGAAAATTGTAGCAGAACAAAGTGTTTTCTCAAATGTATTACTCAGCATTTTGTAAAATAAATGACAAAATTCCATATATGGTAATTAAACAAATAGTACTACATCAAGTTTATACTAGCCACAACCAGTATCAAAGGATGATACATGTTCTTTCATTTCCAACATTCCTAGAATTGTTTAACAAATACGAAGTGACACAATAAACTGTAGACAATGTTCTGAGTTTCCGGTTATTGTGTATTCCCTCTCTGATGCCAAATTATTTCTTCACATCTATTGTAAGTTTTTAACATCCTCATCCTTATTTATGAGGAGGAGGAAAAGGCACTGCACAATTCTGTATATCTGGCACAATCTGTAAAGTACAAACAACCCCATGGTAATAATAAATTCGTTTTTACTATAAGGAACAATCCAAGACCCCCCATGCACATTTAGTAACGAGATGATCACATACTACAGCAAACTTTATATATGTTCTCTCTTATTAAAAATGAACTTCCAGATATTTACCTCTCTGTAAAGCAGGGCTTCCCAAATATTTTGGTTGATGGGAACATTTGGAATTTGGAGAGCATGAATTTGGAGGGCACTTTAAAAAAACAGATATACCTATTATAAAGACTTGTCTATCAAAATAATAACCAGTAAAGCTGTTCATAACATTTTCTAATCTCTTATGAAGCCCTATTACTGCAGCTTGCTTCTGAGCAGTGGGCTTATTTCCAAAAGAAAACAGTGGCTACAGCCTCTTATCTTTTGGCCCCTGGAATATGGACTGGACCCAGAAGCATTTTTAGAAACAAAGATTGGGCTTGAGGCTGCTACTTTGCAGCAAATAATTACTTTCCATTTTAAAAAATACAAAAGTAAAAAGATAATAGATGGGGCATAGATCTTTGTGGCTACCAATAATGGTGTCCATATACCTGCTGGCAGCTGCAGGCACCAGATTGGAGATCCACATTCTAAGACATTTATTGAAAACATGCTGATTTTTTTGGAGGGGGGGAGGGGGGGATGGCAGGTTGATTCATCAAAGGACAATACATATTTTATTTTAAAAAGTATCTGGCAATAGCTTCCAGAATTCCATGCATTCTTTCCCCATGTCTTTGATAAATGATAAAATTTTATTATTATTTATCATAATTAACATTTTAGACAACAATGTTACCTCTAACACAGTATTTTAAGGTAAAAAATTAACAATACTTCTAGTTTTCTATGTTCCAAGATATTGAACACAATGTGGGAATTTCATTAGCAGATTTGACAATAATGTTCTATATAACTTAAAGAATTCTGAAGAGAAGCATCACTATATGAGCCATATTAAAGGTTAATTTTAGATGTATACTACAAAAAAGTCAGTAAAAGCCAAATTAGGCAGAAAGTTTTTTATTTTTAAAAAACTATATATGATTTTTATTTTAAGTCTTACTGTTAAATAAGAAGAAAAGAAAGAAACTCAATCCTGTTTAATTAATCATTTGAAGCATTGTGGCTAAAATACTGTAAATTTATTCATATTATTGCCTAATTATTTTTTTACTTGTCACTTTCCCCCATCCCTCCCTGATAAAAGTATTAGTTGGTTGTCCTCTTACCAAATGTATAATTCTGTGGCATCTCTTTAATTCTTCCCTATATGCCAAAGCCAGGAATGCTCACTTTCCTAACAGAACAACTTAAACTGTTTTGGAATTGAAAACACACAACGAAATGGCCTAAAATACTTTTGGATTCATATAAATATATATCAAGATTATATCCTAAAATTACCATAGTATACATACGATAGACAGACAGACAGACAGAATATTCGTGCTGTTTTATCCATATTTATATTTATAATTTTTTTTTACTGGAAAGCAATTAAACAAATGTGGGATGATATTAATTAAGAATGTTTTCAATATATTATTGAAGTTGAATATGAACACTTATCTACTTAGGTAATTTATATGTTAGGCACACAGTTCAAAAACAGTAGCCTTCCTTCAGCTATAAGACATGCTATGGTATGTACGTCTTTAGAAACTAGTTCGTATTAGGTGAAGACCCCAAATGCAAACAAAGTTTTTAAATTAATGAGCTGAAGGTATTTAAGGCAACATTGAAGCATCAGAGAAGTAACCAAAGCACACATGTAAGATCCTAATATAATATGAAATAAGATCCTAAGAGGATTGGGGGAGATCTGGCTTGTTGGCAATGTGTGGGAGAAGGATATAGGAGTACTAGTGGAAAACCAAACTGAACAGGAATAAGCAAGCTGGTACAACAGCTGAAAAAAAGCATGCAATCTTGGAATGCATTAATAGAACCACTGTATCCAGATGATGGACATTAACAGTTAACATACTTGGACTATTATGTCCAGTTTTGAGCAGTGTGTTTTAAAAGGAACATGGAAAGATCCTGGAACTGATTCATAGGAGAGCTACCAGGTTGGTAAGAGGTCTGGAAACCAAACCCTATGAGGAATAGTTAAAGGAGTCGGGCATGGCTAAGACAGGATGTGATGGAAGTGTACAAAATCATGCATGTTATACAGAAAATGAGCAAGGAAATGTTTTTCTTCCTCTGTCAAAATAGTAAGACTAGGAGGCATCCAATGAAGCTAACTGGAAGATTTAAAACAGAAAAAAGAAAGCACTGCTTCTTGCAGCACATAATTACCTATGAAATTCTTCACCAGACATGGTAAGAGCCACAAACCTGGATGCCTTTTAAAAGGGATCCAAGTTAAATTAAGGGTTAAATTAATGGAGGACAAGTCAAAGGCTACTGATCTGGAAGAAGTGTTATACCTCTTGGAGGCAGCATATCTCCAAATACCAACTCCAAGGGAATAATGGTGAGGTTGGGATATGCCTCCATCTTCCACTTGGGAACATTCCAGAAGCATCTGGTTGGCCACCATGGGAAAGAAATCTTGGACTATGATGGGCCTTGGCCTGATCCACCAAGGCTGCTTGAGTGTTCTTAACTAACTGAAGTGCTTATATTTTGGAAATTATTATGTAAAATAAGTTGCATTTCAGATGTGAGATAAGAGAAAAACAGATACAGTACACCATTGCAATCCAGTAGAAGAAATGTTCTAGAATAGTTTGACATTCTACAGAGAACAATCAAGCCAAAACTAACACCCTATCTTATCTAACGAAGGAAGTAATGGATGAAGATTTAATCAACTGTAATCAAATGCTATATGCTTTTACAAAATGTAATACTGAGGTTTTCATGATACTGATTAATTTCTTCATTAGTGCAGGTGCAGAAAATATTGTTCACAAAACAAGCTTGTTGTATAATAAGTTATTTAAGCTATTGAGTATCAGAGGATCCCAATAATTTATTTACAAATTATTAATATTTTAAAAATTAAAAGAAATTCTCAAAATCTGGAGTAGGCAGCAACACATTTATAATAAATAACAAATTTAACAAATTCAAGAAATCAAATAAAGTTGCTTATATCTCTAACTCAGAGTTCTCACTTGAGGCACAGATGACCAGGCTCAAATTATCCTACTTCAGATACATTATGCGATGACCTAGCTCTCTAGAAAAAGCCCTACTGCTGGGAAAGCTGGAAGGAGAGAGAAGAAGATAACAACCAGCAGCAAGGTGGATGGACTCAGTTACAGTAGCGATGAGTACATCATTGGAAGAACTGAAAGACGAGGTTAGGGATAGATCGTCATGGAGAAAATCTATGTGGTCACTAGGAGTAAAAAATGAGTTGATGGCACATAATCATGTCAGGATTTTCTTTCTCATGGGAAAGGATTCATCCCGTTATCTTTACAACAATAAC